CCACAGTTATCCAGCGTACTCTCTTTGTTCACAGCTCTTTAATCTTGATCCACGCCTGTTTCCCTCGACCATACTTTTTGCCTGTCCCTTTTTTGCCTCAGCCTTCTGACCTTGTTGATGACCTTCGCCTGTTTTTGGATTTCGCCTTTGCCTCTCCCTATTAGTACTGTCTCCTCTTCGGACCCCGTGTATGAACCCTGCTCACCCTCGACTACGCCTCTGGACTTCCCTTGGTCTCTGCAGCTCTGTATCTCTGCTGGAGTGCCCCGTTACAACAAGAAAGGTTAGTGTTTCACCAGATCATCTGTATTCAGATAACTACTTGTTATTCTGCCAAACACTAACCTTTCCCCTCTGTATCATTTTAGATACAGTTCCTGCCCCTGTACCTGAGACACCAGAAGCTGTTTATTTACTCAATAAACTTAAAAAAAAAAACACCTTTCTTAGTCTGTGTGTAGGATCCTCCGCCATCAGATCTCTGACAGTATAATCCATTTTGGGCGTGTTAGTGGTGTTGTAGATGCGCCCAGCTCAATGACGTGTATATACTAGAATATGTCATTGGTCCAGTTCTTCTTAAAGGCAGGTTTAACAAAACCTGCTCACTTTGCAGTGATTTAATGGACCAACTCCCCTCTCACCATTAGTTACTTTCAAACTAACAGACATCAAAAACCGTAACGAGAATGTAACTTGTAACGCAACACAGTATAGAAATGTAGTGTAGTAGAAAGTACAGATTATTACCGTAAAATGTAGTGGAGTAAAAGTAGAAAGTATCCACAGTTAACTCTACTTAAGTAAAGTACAGATACAAGAAAAATGTACTTAAGTACAGTAACAAAGTACTTGTACTTAGTTACATCCCACCACTGCATTTAACCAATATATTGTTAAACAACTCATTGAATTCAGTTTACTACAGTAAACGTTGGAAGTTTACAATAAAAAATACAGATTCATTTTACTTGGGAAATATAAAACAGTAAAGGAAAGCAAGACATGCTTTGGAACAAGGCTAATTAGTATGGTAAATGACAAGTCACTAACATAAAATCTGTAGATTTTAGAAATACTAGTACTAGTAATAGTATTTACTCTCTCTAACACAATGACAACACTAGAACAGTGCACATTTGTTAATTTTCACAAATCTAAACTCAGCGGTGCGTGTGACATCATAACGTTGTGCTAGCGCTGTAGGCATCCTTGTCACTGGGTTGTCATACAAAAACAGCATATATATAAATGTATATATATATATATATATATATATATATATACATATATATATATATATATACATATATACGTGTGTGTGTATGTACTGTATATATATATAAACAGCGCCTTTTATATTGGTGAGTTATTTTGATGGAATGTATGATGTCTGATATTTAATTTTATTGCTTATATTGACTGATACCATGCCGATAATATTAAAACCAGCCACTAGGGAGCACAAGCCAGTGTATATCTTGTGCAGGTCCCAAGTCAGGGTAAATGGTGAGGGTTGTGTCAGGAATGGCATCCGATGTAAAACACTTTTGCCAAAACCATAATGCGAGTTCATCAAAGCGAAACCATACCGGATCGGTCGAGGCCCGGGTTAACAATGACCGCCACCGGTGCTGTTGACAAACAGGGTGCCGGCGGAAATTGTGCTACTGTTAGTCGAAGACCACGAAGAGGGACACGTGTCAGGAGACAGAGGGAGAAGAGGAAAGTGAAGAATGTAGGGATGAGGGTTGCAACTCTAAATGTGGGGACAATGACAGCCAAAGGTAGAGAGCTGGCTGACGTGATGAAGAGAAGAAAGGTAGATGTTTTATGTGTCCAAGAGACCAAGTGCAAGGGCAGCAAGGCTCACAGCATCGGAGCAGGGTTCAAACTGTTTTACCATGGTGTGGATAGAAAGAGAAATGGAGTAGGGGTGGTACTGAAAAGGGAGTTGGCAAAGAATGTAGTAGAGGTGAAGAGAGTGTCAGATAGGGTGATGTGCCTGAAGGTAGAAGTAGAAGGTCTGACACTAAACATCATCAGTGGTTATGCTCCACAGGTTGGATGTGATGAGGAGGAGAAAGATACCTTTTGGAAAGATTTGGATGAAGTGATAGAGAGTATTCCCAGGGAGTAGAGAGTGGTGATCGGAGCAGACCTGAATAGACATGTTGGTGAAGGGAACAGAGAGGATGAGGAAGTGATGGGTAGGTTTGGTGTCAAGGAAAGAAACCAGGCAAATGGTGGTGGATTTTGCCAAGAGAATGGAAATGGCTGTAGTCAATACCTATTTCCAAAAGAGGGAGGGACATAGAATGACCTATAAGAGTGGAGGAAGGAGTATGCAGGTCGACTACATTATGTGTAGAAGAGGAAACCTGAGGGAGATTGGGAACTGTAAAGTTGTGGCAGGGGAGAGTGTGGCCAGACAACATTGGATGGTTGTGTGTAGAATGACTGTTGTTGTGAAGAAGAGATAAATAGTAAAATCAGAGAAGAATACCAAATGGTGGAAGCTGAAGAAGGAATAATGTTGTGAGAAATTCAGAGAGGAGCTGTTAAAGACTCTGGGTGATAAGAAAGTGCTTCCAAATGACTGGACTACTACAGCAACAGTAATTAGAGAGACAGGTAGGAATGTACTTAGTGTGTCATCTGGACAGAGAATGGATGATAAGAAAACCTGGTGATGGAATAGTGAAATGCAGGATGTCGTTCAAAGAAAGCGATTAGCCAGGAAGAAATATGACAGTGAGAGGATTGAAGAGAGGAGACAGGAATATAAGGAGATGGGACGTAGAGCAAAGAGGGAAGTAGCTAAGGCAAAGCAGAGGGCATAAAATGAGTTGTATTGTAGACTGGACACTAAAGAGGGTGAGAAGGACTTGTACTGATTGGCAAGACATAGGGATGAGGCTGGAAAGGATGTGCAGCAGGTTAGGCTTATTAAAGATAGGAAGGGTAATATTCTAACAAGTGAGGAGAGTGTGACGGGAAGATGGAAGCAGTACTTTGAGGAGCTAATGAATGAAGAGAATGAAAGAGAAAGAAGAGTAGAGGTCATATAAACTGTGGTCCAAGAAGTGGGAAAGTTAGTGAGGGTGAAGTCCGGAAAGCTCTGAAAAGAATGAAGAAGGGGAAGGCAGTAGGACCTGATGACATACCAGTGGATGTTTGGAAATGTCATGGAAAGATGGCAGTGAGGTTTTTGACTCAAATATTCAATGGCATATTCGAGGGTGAGAAAATGCCTCAGGAATGGAGAAGAAGTGTGCTGGTGCCCATTTTTAAGAACAAGGGCGATGTACAGAGTTGTAGCAACTACAGGGTAATTAAGCTAATGAGCTCACAATGAAAATATGGGAGAGAGTTGTGGAAGCAAGACTTAGATGAGAGGTGACTATCTGTGAGCAGCAATATGGTTTCATGCCAAGAAAGAGCACCACAGATGCAATCTTTGCTTTGAGAATGCCGATGGAGAAGTACAGAGAGGATCAGAAAGAACTCCATTGTGTCTTTGTAGATTTAGAAAAAGCATGTGACAGAGTGTCAAGGGAGGAGGTGTGGTATTGCATGAGGAAATCTGGAGTGGCAGAAAAGTATGTTAGACTGGTACAGGACATGCATGAGGACAGCAGGACAGTGGTGAGATGTGCTGTAGGAGTGACAGATAGCTTCAAGGTGGAGGTGGGATTGCATCAAGGATCTGCTCTGAGCCCCTTCTTGTTTGCTCTGGTGATGGCCCAACTAACAGATGAGGTCAGGCAAGAATCCCCATGGACGATGATGTTTGCAGATAACATTGTGATCTGTGGTGAGAACAGGGAACAGGTGGAAGATAACTTGGAGAGGTTGATGTATGCACTTGAAAGAAGAGGAATGAAAGTCAGTCGTAGTAAGACAGAGTATATTGTGAATGAGAGGGAGGCCGGTGGAACAGTGATGCTACAAGGAGCAGATGTCACAAAGGTGCAGGACTTCAAGTACTTGGTGTCCACTGTCCAAGAAAATGGGGAATGTGGTAAAGAAGTGAAAAAGAGAGTCCAGGCTGGATTGAGTGGATGGAGAAAAGTTTTTAGGGGTGATTTGTGACAAAGGGGTGTCAGCAAAGGTCAAAGGAAAAGTTTCCAAGACAGTTGTGAGACCTGCTATATTGTATGGTCTGGAGACAGTGGCATTGACAAAAGACAGGAGAAAGAACTGGAAGTGGCAGAACTGAAGATGCTAAGGTTCTCCTTAGGAGCGACAAGGCTGGATAAGTTTAGGAATGAGATCATCAGAGGTACAGCCCAGGTTGAACATCTGAGAGATAAAGTTAGAGAGGCCAGACTGAGAAGGTTTGGACATGTCAAGAGGATGGATAGTGGGTATATTGGTAGAAGGATGTTAGAAATGCAGCTGCCAGGAAAAAGACAAAGAGGAAGGCCAAGGAGGAGATATATGGCTGCAGTTAGAGAGGACATGGAGGTAGTTGGAGTGAGGACAGAGGATGCAGAGGTCAGAGTGAGATGGAAGATGACTCGCTGTAGCAACCCCTGAAGAGGGAAAAGCCGAAAGAAGAAGAAGACCATGCCGATAATATTGTGCATCCCTAATATTAATAGTTTTAAAATTTAGTAAAATATTTCCATGTTACTGTAAAAAAAACACATCCAGATACAGTAAATCTTTTTTTGTATAAACAAAATAAGAGCAATTCTCGTTAGAGATTTGTATGAAAAACTAAGAACAAGAGCTGTGATTGCTCCAAATGGTGAAAATTATGCAATCATATACATCTTCTATATATTTTTGTGTTATTATGGATCCCAAAACAATTTATTAATCTGATAAATTGCAGTAATCTGCATGACTATCTGCCTAATGCATGTATGTATGTGAGTGTGTACAGTATGTGCTTTTTTGTGGACTGAGGTGAAGATGTGTGCTGATCCTTCAGCTGCATTGTAAAAATTTTCTCTCACTTCTTTTTCCCGTTATCTAACCATCAATGGCAGCACCTGGACGTCCGAGCTTCTGGGACATTATCCTTTTTTGCGTCTCTCATCTCTCTCTCTGTCTGGTTGGTCTCTCCACCCCTTTGTGACCTGGGGATGAACGCACCAATGAGGAGCCTCACAGTGAGTAATATTATCCTCTTTCACCCCATCCACCTTCCACAGCACCTCAGTCAGTCACTCACTTACTCACAAAGTGTGTCGCATAAATGCCTTGATGTCAGATGTGGTGGGCATTTCTGTCTCTATGAGCGTATTGTAGATGTGGGTAGTGTACTGTACACCATATAAGCCATGATGTTGACTAACTGTTGTGTGTTATTTACAGGGTATGCCTGATCGCATGTTATGTGCAGTGCTGGAGCAATTTCAGCTTTACTTTTCCCTTTGGTATGTGCGCTTTGTCTCCATTTACACTGTCATTTCTTCTTGTGTTCTTATGTTGAAACAGCCTGTACAGTTTTCTTTTCTTTTTTTCTGCATACAAACAAATATACAGTTTACATGTGCAGGAAACACCAAATTTTGTCAAAATGTTTTCTGCCGCCACGTTTGTGTTCAGCATGATGAAGATCTTTTATGATCTTTTAAAATGGTAAGTTATTGGAGCGGTTCCTGTGTGGTGACACTTGTTCTGTGTTCCATGTGTGCTGCATCTTTGCTGGTCATTCTACAGTTCAGCACATTCAGTTTTGAAGCACACATCTCTGGCAATTCAAGTCAGGGAAGTTAAACTTTTCGTGCAATGTAGCCTAATTTTACATATATTTACAATCAACCACTAATAGATGTGCATTTCAATTAGTGAAAACACATTTTTTTTAAATATTGTACAAAGTATATTTATCTAATTCAGAATTGTGTAAATTTGGCCATGCATTTAGCAAACAATACATTGATTTGATTATAATCTACAGGACTGGAGTTAGAAGAGCTGTGTTGCACCTGCCCTGACTTGAATGCAGCTAGAGTCCCTCCGTTCCTCATTTAGCTTTGGTCATTGTGTGGTTCGCCTCCCTCCCTTTGTTAGATTCACTCTCTGTATAGCACGGCAAGCCCCAGCATGCTGAAGAGGAAACAAAGCTCAAGGGTGGAGGCCCAGCCCATGACCGATTTTGGGCCAGATGAGACCCTTGCAGACAGTGCTGACATCTTCTGGATCAACAAGCCAGTGAGTGAACACACACACAAGTTTAGGCCAACTCATTAGTATTGCAATAATCCCACATTTTGTCATTATGTCTTCTTTTGTGTTCTTTCTGCAGTGGGTCCATTCTTTGCTTCGAGCCTGCGCCATCATCAGTGTCATCTCTGTCTGTATGAACACCCCAAAGACCTTTGAGCATTACCCTCCACTGCAGTATGTAACATTCATGCTGGACACGCTTCTCATGTTCCT